CTTGAGGCTCTTCTTATATTATACTTGTGATTATGTTTTGATGCTTTCCTTATGGGTGAATGAGCCGATTACTTGTTTGTTTGTAGATGCATTAGGGGTTGAACCGCATGCTTGTGCTATGACTTTGGTGCGGCCGAGTGGCTGAGTCGTGTGGACTTTCTATTGGGTTGGGTCGATGACTTGTCGATTTTGAGGTGCAAGTACCCTTCAATCGGTTTGGGCCGACTTAATGTGTAAATTCATGAATCGGGCAGGGCCGATCGAAGGTGTGAACTTGTAAATCGGGCAGGGCTGATCAAAGGTGTAAAAACTCATGACTCGGGTAGGGCCGACCGAAGGTGTAAGTTGCTAAATAATACTTCATTGAATTCAGGCCATGAGGCCGACTGTCTGTGAAAGAGGTGGATAGGCCCACTCATCTTTTTTTAAAAATAAAAACAAAAAGAAAACAAATATGTAGACGAATGAGTTCACCTAAAAGTAGTAGTGTTTGAGATAGACTGCATTCCAACTGTTGCTGATGTCTTTGCCTTCGGGAGTTTGGAGTCAGTAGGCGCCCTTTCCTGCTTCTTTGGTGATTTTGTAGGGACCCTCCCAGGTGGATCCAAGCTTGTCCGAGTTGATCTCCCTAGTGTTTTGAAAGACCTTGTGGAGGACTCAGTCGCCTGTTTTGAAAGTTCTGATCTTGACGTTGCGGTTATAGTATCGGTCGACCTACTGCTAATAAACTGCATTGCGGAGTTTTGCCTGTTCATGTAGCTCGTCGACGATGTCCAGGTTCTAGCAAAGGTTTTGGTTGTTGATTTCCTCATCCGCCCATTGGAGTCTGGCCGAAGGAACCAATACTTCGGTTGGAATGACAGCTTTAGATTCATATGCGAGGGAGAAAATGAGTTTCGCCCGTGGATGAGCAGGCTGCAGTTCGATAGGACCAAAGGACTCCGAGTAGTTCATCCGCCCATGCACCCTTGGCTTTCTGCAGGCGCTTTTTCAAAGTCTGCATGATGGTTTTATTTGATGATTTGGCCTGGTCGTTAGACTGGGGGTTACGGGGGATAGAGAAGCTTAGCTTGATCCCCCATATGTCGCAGAAATCCTTGAAGCCTCGAAATTACTAGTGATACGCCCCGCCACTAACCCCATTGATGCCGAATTCAAGATAGTAGAGGTCTCTATTGGGTTGCATTATATGAATCACTACTTTTAGGGGCAGTTCTGAGTGAGTACATACAGAATGGTCAATTTATATAAATTTGGTTGGGAGGAAATGGGCTATGCCAATGCCATACATCCTTTGATAACGACACCTCGCTCACATGTCTAGTTTGTGTTTGTTAATAATTAAGGAATTGAAAATAAAACTAGACAAAAATCCCATATGTATAGTCTTTTCTAAATTTCTATACTTTTATAATACATCACTTGTTTGGATTTGTGATTCCAAATGTGAAGTAATTATCCTATAACAATAGTTGGATTAATATCAAAAGAAAATTACCCTATTGATTACCATGGATTAATAATAGGATAATATTACGCTAAAAAACTCTTCTCATAAACTTTCTTTCACAAACTTGATATAACAGCTTCCAATTGGTTAATTTATAATGAATCTCACCTGATTATGTTTATTGTTAATAATAATCCCCTTGTTGTGGCCTAAATGATGTTTAGTTTTGAGTTGTAGGGCCATATAAGTAGACCTGGCAAAACGGGTCTGGACCCGTGGGTTGGACCATACCCGGGTAAATAATATAGGGTACGGGTCCAATTTATTAAACCCATTTTTTTAGACCTGTACCTGTACCCGACCTTAAAACAAACGGTTTATACGGGTGAACCCGCGGGCACCCGTATTTGCAGAAATCAATTTTTTAATTTTTTGAATCCCTAATTTTTTTCACGCAACACAGCAGTCACGCTCACGCCTCTCACTCTCTCAGTCTCATACTCTCAATCTCATCTTTGATCTGATCTCTCAAACTCCACATCTCTGATCTCTCACTCTCATAGTCTCATCTCATCTTTGATCTCTCACTCTCCTCTCACTCTCAGATTCTCAACAACTTTATCGTGGCCGCATCTCAATCTCTCGTCATTCATCTTCGTCTGAAGTTNGATAGAGTTACCGAAAAGTTTACACCGAATTTGTGCACCGAATGACGTGGCAAAATCCTGACCGTTGATTAATATTAACTGATAATAAATCAACGGTCAGGATTTTACCACGTCATTTGGTGCACAAATTCGGTGCGCACCCGTCGGTAACTGTAGCATTACTCATTTCATTTTTAATACAAGTTTTTGATCCTTGACCCACGTGGCTTACGTTTCTCAATATCAGTATTGACTTTTTTAACTGTATGGGTGTTTTTCAAAGGGTGCATGTATCTCGTGATGAGATCTTGCTTATTAATTTTGTGGTCTGTTTGAAAGTTTTTTTTTTATTACTTGTTTTGGGAGGTTTTTAATTTTACTGGTTTTGAGGTGTTCTAAAACCATTACTTGCCAGATTTTTTATGCAGTGGTTTTAACCTCTGTTTTAAAATCCGGACTGAACCGGCCAGTCTGACGGGTTCGACCGGGAGCCGTCTTTTACTTCGGTTCGGGTTTACATAAAATCGGGAATGTCAATAAACCCGTTTTGGACCGGTAATGGACCGATGGAACAGTACAAAACCGTCGAACCGACCAACCCAGGGCTTAAAACAGTTCGTCTAATTCAAAAATATTCGTATTCCTAAACTAATTTCAGCACCGTTTCATTATCTTCCTTTTTCATCATCAACTGTAAAGAAGAAGTAAGTGGAGGGGAATGGAAGGGAAGGAAGAAGAAAGAGAAGAGGAGACACAAGAAAGAGTAAGGAAGAAGATTAGAAGAAAGAAAAGAGGAGATGAAGAGAAAGAGAAGGAAGAAGAAAGTGAAGAAAAATTACATAGAGGAAGAAGAAAGAGACGAAGAAGAAAGAGAGAAAGAGAAGAAAGAGGAAGAAGAAAGTGACAGGCAATGATGGGGGAGAGAGAGAGAGAGAGAGAAAAGGAAAAAGAAAGAAATTGATGGAGAGTGGTGGCGTGATGGGGAGAGAGAGAAAAGTGAAAGATGAAAGTGATGGAGAGAGAGAAAAAATAATTAATAATAAAACTTGAGAGTGTATTTACTTTATTTTAAACTTTATATGTGACTTTTAGTAGACCTGGCAAAACGGGTTTGGATTCGCGGGTTGGACCGTACCCAGGTAAATAATATAGGGTATGGGTCCAATTTATTAAACTCATTTTTTTAGACTCGTACCCATACCCAGCCCTAAAACAAACTGTTTATACAGGTGAACCCGCGGGCACCCGTATTTGCAGAAATCAATTTTTTAATTTTTTGAATCCCTAATTTTTTTCATGCAGCAGTCACGCTCACGCCTCTCACTCTCTCAGTCTCATACTCTCATCTCATCTCTGATATGATCTCTCAGACTCCACATCTCTGTTCTCTCATTCTCATAGTCTTATCTCATCTCTGATCTCTCACTCTCATCTCATCTCTGATCTCTCACTCTCAGATTCTCAGCAACTTTATTGCGGCCGCATCTCAATCTCTCGTCATTCTTCTTCGTCTGAAGTTCAACTGAATCAACTCCCTATCGCGGTGTCTCCATCTTCGATTAATAGTCAGTTCGTCACTCGTCGGCTGTTAATGAATCCCTAACCCCTAATTTTGTGTGTTTGTTTTTGTTTTTTTGACAGATTTTGTGTTTTCTTTTTTGTTTGAATGGTTAATATTTTGTATTTTAATTTTTGTTTGTGAGATTAACATTGTTTACACTTATATTGTTGTCTGGTTGAGCTTTCCCTGTACGTGGATCTGTAGAGTTGTTTGGGTTGAGTGTGTTTGTGTTTGGTTCCCCTAGTTGATGGGTTTTCCTTTTGCAGATTATTACACTGATATAAAGATTAAAGACAGGCTTCCAAGTAAAAGAAACTGTGAAGTGTGGATTCTGTGGAAGAATAATCTCTTTTGGCAAGGCAGAATCGAAATTACCTTCTTCACAGATCCCTAATCTTGATACAGAGGTACTAAAATTTCAGTTTTGCTGAGTTAATCGGAACTGAGTTAATTTGTTGCAAAACATGTACAACTCTTTTAGGCTAGATGTCGTAAGTGAGGCTTGGTCCAAATTTCCCTGTGCAGGATTCATACAGAGTGTTATTCACCTTTGTGTAGATCTTTGCTTTGAATAGAAATAGGTATCAACATGTGTAATCTAAATCCTGAGCGAGGGATGTATGATGTATTGATGTATCATGTATGCAAATCCAATCATGTATGCAGGATAAATGTTTGAAAATTTTGAAAGGAAATAACGAGTGATCCACTTGTGTTTAGAACATTGATGCATTGATGTTTTGGGTTTTGTGGAAATCCCTTATACGTGCTATAAGATGATAGTATGGTGTAATTGTGCTATTTTAGATCCTGCACAAATTTGTGTTTTGTTGTTGTTATGGGATTGGATTTATTGTTGTTTTGTGGAAATCCCTTATACGTCCTAATCTGTTTTCTTGAGAAGAATTTTCATCAGCCTAATGTGATATCACATTTAGATCTTTCATTATTTTGCAACAGGGAATTGCAAAAGAATGAAATAACTAATTGGCAGGGAATTGCAACAGAGAATGAAAAATCTTTTCAAAACGTTTTGTGTACAAAGGCAGATCTGCTTATTAAACTTATCAGGAACTGAATGACTGTCCTGGATGAAGCCAGATGGAAGTTTCTTAATAAGAGAATTTAATTAAAAACATTAGCCTCCAAAATGGACCTAGATTCAACAACTCCATACGACTATATGAAGCAATGTGTTTTGTATTTGTTTTATGGATCATATTAAAGAATAGATTAGACATGATTGACATGTTGTGTTATTATAATACAGTAATTAAAGATAAAATTATAATTGAGTTAGTGTGAAAAAGCTTGCTTCTTTTGGTATTTAGTCCAATTCCAAATGAAATCATCTCATCTTTTTGCCTTTCCTTCTCCAACTGGTTATCTTCTCTCTCAGTCGAAATATGTTGCAGATATTCTTGAGGGGGCTAGACTTACTGATAATAAGACTGTCGATACTCCGATTGAGGTTAATGCAAAGTATTCTTCTTCTGATCGTTTACCTTTGTCAGATCCTACTTTATACCGTACTGTTGTTGGGAGTTTGGTATATCTCACTATTACTCGTCCAGATATTGCATATATTGTTCATGTTGTTAGTCAGTTTGTTACTTCTCCTATTACAGTTCATTAGGCAGCTATTCTTCGTATTTTGCGGTATCTTCGAGGTACAGTCTTTCAGAGTCTTTTACTTCCATCCACCTCTTCCTTGGAGTTGCGTGCATACTCTGATGCTGATCATGGCAGTGATCCCACGGATCGCAAGTCTATTACTGGTTTCTGTATCTTTTTGGGTGATTCTCTTATTTCTTGGAAGAGCAAGAAACAATCCATTGTTTCTCAATCTTCAACGGAAGTAGAATATCGTGCTATGGCATCTACTACCAAAGAGATTGTTTGGTTACATTGGTTACTTGCAGATATGGGCGTTTTTTTCTCATCCCACTCCTATGTATTGTGACAACCAGATTTCTATTCAGATTGCTCACAACTCGGTTTTTCATGAATGAACTAAGCACATTGAGATCGATTGTCACCTTACTCGTCATCATCTCAAACATGGCACCATTACCTTGCCCTTTGTTTCTTCTTCTTTGCAGATTGCAGATTTCTTTACCAAGTCGCATTCTATTTCCCTTTTCGTTTTCTAGTTGGCAAACTCTCGATGCTTGTAGCCGCAGCATCGTGAGTTTGAGGGTAGATTTTAAGAAATATGGATTATTTTGTTTTATTGTTTATTAAGGGTAGATCTGTCTTTTCATTATTTCCTTTGTTTAGCCTATATATATATTTGTATTTAGGTTAAATCATACTTTTTGTATTCAATTGAATTGTGTAGTATCAATGAAACCCTAACCTCCTCTTTTTTATTATTATTTCTTTGGAAACCCTAACCTAAGATTGTTGAGGATCTGTAAAGTGCAACTTCCTGAAGGCCTTGAATACCTTTCCAACAACTTAAGGTTACTTGAATGGTTAGGATACCCTTTGCAAACTTTGCCGTCGAGTTTGCAGTTGGATAAAATTGTCGAGCTTAAATTGCCATATTGCCACATCTCGCAGCTGTGGAAAGAAACAAAGGTAAGATTAGTTCAGTCACATACATAGTTGTATTTTGTTTTTAATGTATAACAATAGAAAAGTGCTTTTACATTCAGCCTTTAGCTAAATTTGGAAAAGTACCAATTTCTTTTTTTTGTTTTTTTGGCTCTTCTTTTCCTTTCAACAGCCCTTTAGTAACTTGAAAGTCATCAGCCTTAGTCACTCTACAGACTCGAAAGAGACACCTAATTTTATAAAGGTCCCAAATCTGGAGGAGTTGATCCTTGAAGGATGTACAAATTTGTGTGAGATTCATCAATCTTTGCTAGTACACAAAAAGCTTATTTTGTTGAATCTCAAAGATTGTACAAGTCTTACTACTCTTCCAAGAGAGATGGACATGGAATCTTTGAAAACACGTATACTTACTGGTTGATTCAAACTGAAGAAATTTCCAAAAATTGTGCAAAGTATGGAATGTCTAGAAGAGCTTTTCTTAGACAGAACTCCTATCAAAGAACTACCATTCCAAGTTGAACTTCTAAAACGAATTGTTTTGTTGAGCATGAAAGACTGCAAGAATCTTGTGAGTCTTCCAACTAATATAAGCGGTTTGGAATCTCTCAGAACTCTAAATCTTTCTGGTTGCTCAAAACTTCAAAATGTGCCAGAAAATTTAGGGCAAGTAGAATTACTAGAGACTCTTGATGTAAGTGGAACAGCTATAAGGCAACCAGAGTCTTCCATTTTCTTTATGAAGAATCTTAAGGAAATATTATCTTTTCGTGGCTGCAAAGGACCACCATGAAACTCATGCTGTTTGCCCTTCTCATTCCGTTTGATGTTGGGAAGAAGCTCAAATCCAATGGCTTTGAAGTTGCCTTCTCTATCAGGTTTATCTTCGTTGAGAGAATTAGATCTCAGTGACTGTAATCTAGACGCAATTCCTTGTGAAATTGGTGGGTTAGTTTCATTGAAGGAGCTACATCTAGGATGTAACAATGTTGTTTCACTACCGGCAAGCATCCGTCATCTTTCTAAGCTTAAAAAACTTACTTTAGAGGATTGCAAGAGGCTTCAATCATTGCCAGAACTTCCACCCAAGTTATCTATTATTTCAATAGATTATTGTACTTCACTAGCATCATTACCGACTTCCTTAAAATCATGCGGATCACTAACTTGGATCTCCTGTATTAACTGCTTCAACTTACTTGACTGCAACAACATTATGGCATTTCCAATGCTGAAGGTCTTTTTCTCTTCCTCTCTTTCTTCCTTTCTTAATTTAAACATATCCAATGTATGACTTTATCTATTTATTTTCATAGAAAATGTCCATTCCAAGGGATCAATGTATTTGCTTTCTTTTTCCGGGAAGTGAAGTTCCGAATTGGTTCAGCCATCAAACTGAGGGTTCTTCAATAACAATAAAACGTAATCCGAATTTGAAGTTGAAAGGATTTCTCATATCCGCTATTATTTTCGTCGATAAACATCTGCCTGCCCTAAGTAGGCGTATATATTGTCGTTTACGGAGTTTTTCAGAGGGGAAGTGGATCGATTTAAGTTTTATCTCGTATCTTTAAATCCGAGTACTGTGTCAGACCATCTTTGGCTATTATCTTTACCTATTAGCGAAAACCATGTTAAGCCGTGGTATCAGATTGAATTTGACACATCAGAGTATCAATTAATGATTGTGAAGAGGTGTGCAGTCCATCCAAAATATGAACAAGAAGCTGAAGAGTTAGACCAATGCAGTAGCTCTACGCGAAACCTTGCTGACAATGATGGGCAAAAACTAGTGAAATTTTCTAGTTCTCTTAATCATCGACGAGGAATCAGAATTAGCAGGTAAGCAAATAAATTCTCTTGTTTTGCTCTTACCTTAATTTCTCTCCTGTATCCTTTGGAGCTGCTATAATGCTTTTTGATTATGTGACATTATCTTGTAATTAGCATCAGACTTTGATTTGAAAATGAACATAATGTCGACGTTATTGAGTTTTACTACCTTCACAAAATGTAAAATAAAAAATCTAGAAATGAGTCGCTCATATTTAATTCGCACGTTAAAAACTATAGAAGATCCACACTTGAGAATATATATATATATATTTGTGAACTCAACATATTATTTATTTGGTTGAATATACGTGATTCAGGGGCTGTTTTAAGTTGTTCAAATAATTCTCAATTTGCAGCTCCCTGGCGTATGAAGATAGAAGGGAACAATTCAGATGCTCTCAAATCTATCATGAAGGAAATTCACTGAACGTTACCTTGTTGATAAAGGTCTTCTTCAAATCATACTTAAATTTCTTTTGCATGATTCTTGTAGCCAGTCATATTTCATCCTACTTTGAGTTTTTGAGTTTGCACTGTTGTCTTTTTCTTTTTATAATTTTTATTACATATGTACTGTTGAGCATCGAGAGAAAAGTGTTCAAGCCAAGTCAACTATGACTATAGTCAAGTCAGCTGTTACAAAGTCACTGATGAGTGATGACTGAGTCAGCTACTGCTGGGTCTAATTAGCTACGGCTGACTTGATATTAAAAGAGCAAGTTGTGGAGATTAGTCAGTTAGCTAAACATGTCTTAGATGTGTGTTTTGTGCCAGTTGTGAATGTACTCCTGAATTTCTTGCGACTGTATATATCTATGTTAGATTCTCAGAGATTGTACGTTATTGAGAAAACTAATACTAAGAATCTCGTTCTAATCCTAATTCTCTCTCTCTCTCTCTCTCATTCTGATCTTCTACTTCTTAGCTTCATTGAAGATTTTTCTCAAACATTTTGGTAATGATTCAATCCTTGTAGCTTAAGTGATCAGTGATCTATGTGAAGTTTGCTCTTAAAGTCTTAAGGACACTAAACTACTTCTTAGCTTAGGTTTTGAGTGGATAGAAATAGTAGTGGGATTCTGTTAACTCAGAGTAATTATGCCCAAGACCTGCTGCTCAAGGCCAAAATGTCAAATTGTAATTCCTGTTCCACACATATGGTTATGGGAAGAAAAATTAATCTTGGAAGATGGTGCCTTATTGAACAGCCCTCTCTATTCTGGTGCTATCCAGTAGCTGACTATGACGAGGCCAGACTTGTCAAACTAAGTCAAAAAGTTGAGCCAATTTTTGCAGGCTCCAACAGTAAATCATTGGCAAGCTTGACATGTTAAGAAATATATGGTTATTTTATTTTATTTTTTATTAAGGGTAGATCTGTTTTTTTATTATTTTCTTTATTTAGCCTTTATATAGTCTCTTTTATTTAGGTTAAATCATTCTTTTGGTATTCAATTGCATCGTGTAGTATCAATGAAACCCTAGCCTCCTCTTTTTCTTATTTTTTTGGATTGTTTAACATGGTATCAGAGCAATGTTTCATGGGACGAGGCTTAATCTTAAACACAGCCGTGAGGGTATTTGTTCAGTTTCTGCAATCTGGTATTTCATTGGTATTCGTTCGATTTGCTATCTGGTATTTCGTTTTCCTTTCTTTTGCATTATGGTTTTCTTTGTTTTTTGATTATGGCTACTGAAAGAGACGATTCGCTTCAGTCTGTGAGTGTGAGGTTAGATGACAAGAATTATTCATATTGGAGTTATGTAATGAGAAATTTTCTTAAGGGTAAAAAGATGTGGGGATATGTTAATGGAACTTCTGTGAAACCTAAGAATACCGATGAGGGTTATGTTGCTTTGATAGATGCCTGGGAAGCAAACAATGCAAAAATTATTATTTGGATTAACAATTCTGTTGAGCATTCCATAGGTACACAGTTGGCGAAGTATGAGACAACAAAGGAGGTTTGAGATCATTTGCAAAGGTTATTTACTCAATCAAATTTTGCAAAGCAGTATCAATTGGAGAATGACATACGAGCTCTTCAACAGAAGAATATGAGTGTTCATGAGTTTTATTCTACTATGATAGATCTTTGGGATCAATTGGCTCTTACAAAATCTACAGAATTAAAGGCATGTGGTGCCTATATTACTCGTAGAGAGCAGCAACGGTTGGTACAGTTTTTAACGGCACTTCGCAGTGATTTTGAAGGACGTAGAGGTTCAATTTTGCATCGTTCTCCATTTCCTTCTGTTGACTCAATTGTCAATGAGTTATTGGCTAAAGAAATACGTCTTAAGTCTTATTCTAAAGAGGAAATTTTGTCTACTTCTAATCCTTCTGTGTTAGCAGTACCTTCTAAGCCACTCTTTAATAATCAGAATAAGCCTTACACAAGGGTTGCCTTCGACGAGTGTAGTTTGTGTAAGCAAAAGAGTCATTGGAAGGCTCAGTGTCCTAAGTTGAGACAGCAGAATCAATCGTAGCAATAATCTCAAGCTTGAAAGCCTGGTAACCAGTCACAATCTAATGCTTATAGACCACCTCAAGGTTACAAACCACGA